CCCCCCCCCCCCGGGGGGGGGGGGGGGGGGGAAGGGGCCAGTGAGTGAGCGGCTGCGTGGTGTTTAGTTGCTGGCTGGGGTTAAGCAACGACAACCACGCAGTGTTCAATCCGGGCAGAGCGTTGTGCTCGTCCTAGAGCAGCACACACATGACTTCAGGTGAAGCATGGCTGCGGCTGTAGAGGCCATGCATACAAAGGTGTCCGCCTCCTTGAGCTTGGCTCACTTTTCAGACCCATGTGCTGTCCCACTGGCGCCTTTTAATATGCTAGAAATCTGTGTCAGCTAGCTGAAGAGACTGTGCCAGCTCACCAAGTTGAGTGAGCTTCTGTTCTAAAACACTATGCACCGCACTATCTTACGTGTTAGATGAGGCAGCATTCATTACCTCTTTCTAAAGGCTGTTGCATTCTGACTTTTATGCTCTCTTTCAGGCATCAGTTTAGAACTGAAACGGGGGAAAAGAAGAGGAAAAGATGATCAGAAGAGGAGCACCAAGGAAACCAAACTCCAACCATTGCAGAAAGGTGGACTGTAGGTAGCTGCAGCTTTGTCAGTGCTGCTGCTGCTGCCAAGTTTAGCGCTCTTAATACATACGTCTAGATGTGTTCGGTCCCCTGGAAGGCAGGGTGACCACAGCATAGTACTGAGTTGAGCACCATTACTGAAAGCTACTCTGCCAGGGGCTGTTGCAGCAGGTCCACAGTGTAAATCCAGGCATTGATTTCTTAAGTCTTAAGCTACACAAAGGCAGATCTTGCCGTATCTTCATAATCAGAAGGCCTAGCTTACACAGCATGTGCTGCCAGTGTCCTACGCTGACGTGTAGCATGAGATCCCATTGAAGAAATACATTTTTGAGAAATACCTTTTTTTTTTTAAATGTTAGACCAACTGAAACTTGTTTCAGGTGCAGAGCCTGCTCTGGGGGCAACATATGCCACACGCTTAACGTTTTCTTTCTATTTTATGTTACTTTCAGTCCTTCTGCCTCACCTAAAGGATGACTAATTAGTCCTCAGTAGAAGAAAGGAGGCCTTAAAGACCTCTGCTGTGAGCAGTTCTTACTTTTAATTTAAATAAAATACTTACAGCCTTATTTACAGCTGCGTATCTACACTCCTCCACCCAACGCTGACCTGACAGATGCTGTTGCCTTGTACACAAAGGTCTGTGGGCACAGCTTGGTTAGTGGGAGTTTAAATAAAGAATGAAAAGACCCCACTAGCACCTTCCCTACTTACAATGCAAGAAATGGGCTCTGATTTTCCTCGTCCTAGAACTGAATGTAGTTTAACATCACTGGCTGGTGCAGGCGACACAAAAGTTCCTTCCCTTTTCACAATACAAAAGCATGTTCGCGATACATCTGTAACGCTGTACAAATACAAAAATGGGCTGGTAGAGAAAGACAATCATGATGCGTGCCAGAATCCGTTAGCAATAATGCAACGTACACATTCTTGAAAAAGAAGGAAAAGTTATTTCAATAATTTTATTGTGTGCATCTACACAAGACACATTGTTGACGAGGTCACTGGTGAACCTGCAAAGCAAGAAGTCCCAAATCAGACAACGAGGTCAAAGCATGCTAGCAGAAGGCAAACAGTCTGAAAGCTCTGTTCCAACAAGAACACTTGGTCATGGTGCCCTGCGACAGCAGGGAGGACACATGCCCATGTACCCTGCAGCCCTCAGAGACTGGAGAGCACACACAGCTTTCCTCCTCCGAAGGGCAACACTGCAAATCACTCTAGATCTGGAGAGCTGGTGTTTCCAGTAACGCCACCCAGAAAGCTGCTTGCAGTGCAAGTGACGTCCTCTGAAGCCCATCCAAAGCAATGTGGGAGTTGTCCCTTATACAGCGTGTAGCCATTTTTTAGCTCCTGACAAAGCACAACCCCGCTCCTTCACAGAGCCCGCTGCCTCACCTCCCTATGCATCCTCCCCTGCGGCAGGTGCATCTCCGCCTTTTGTGTTTCTAGTGTAGATCACTTGGGCTCGGTGCTTGGACACCAGCTTGATCAAACCTATGAAAAGAAATTATGTGAGTACTGGAGGACACCGGGGATGTTGTGTGCCCTTCTAGAGCGGCAGACCAGACAACGTGCGATCGGAAACACCAGGGTACCCAATACTACACATGCTTATACAAAGCTTTTGTTCAGGTGTGGCAGCAGTTATGTCACAGACTGTACTTCCGGCAGTATCTTCTTGTAGCAATGCCACTGAATGCAATGGAGCCTCTACTCCTTGCTTTGGAACGCTTCTGAAATGCAGGATAAGGCAGTGGCTCATCAAAACCACGCCAATTTGAGTACTTCACACACCGCAAGAAGTTGTCTAGGCAAGCAAGGAGAAGAAAACATCCAATTCAAGCAGCTTATATTCTTCCCCAGTTTTGAGCGCTTACCTTTGCTGAGCAGCTCCTGGAGGGCAGCCCTAGCCAGAGAACCTCGAATCTTCAGTCTCTCTGAGACAACTGCAGGTGTGATGAGCTTGTAGTTGGGCACTTCTTTGCAGAGTTTGTCATAGGTAGCCTTGTCAAACAGGACAAGGTTGTTCAACTTGTCCCTCACTTTCCCCTTGGACCACTTCTACTTGAAAAGAGAAAAAAACCCCAATCCACTAAATCATCTTCTAAGCAATGACAAAAGATGAGCTTTAGGATGCCCCAAGAACTGCACCATTCAACGTCTCCCTGTCACATCCCTGATTAAAGGACTAATGAGGTGCCCCAAACTGTCTTTGTAAACGTACGTCTTGCAGATAATACCTACAGTATCTCCAAATAAACGGAGCAAAACCTTTGGTTACTCAGATTTAACACCATCATGCGCAACTTGCTGCCAGATGAAGAAACAGCCCCTCTAACAACACTATTGCACCCACCCGACCCCGACCCCCGCTCTTTAGGTCCGGCCACGCCGCACGCCTGGGGAGCCCGATAGTCTCCTCCGAGCCACCGGGGTCCCGCACCCCTTTGCTCTGCACAGCGTGTGAGCCCGGCCGCCATCCACCCCGCCCCAGCTCCGGGTTTTCACGGCAGGCTCCGGGGCGGGGGCCGCGGCTCGGGGCCTGCCGCCAGCGAGGCCGCCTCAGCAGGCACGTCGGCGCAGGCTCCGCCGGCTCCTACCTTCTTCTTGGCTTTGCCGCCGGACTTGTTGACCGGGTCCTTGTCCTTTTTGGCGGACTTGCCCGCGTCCTTCTTCTTCTTGTCGTCTTTGGGCGGCTGCGGGTGGG